CTCTTCCCATCCCCAGATTTCTGCCCCATACATTATTATACTTTCTACTAGTGTCTCGAAAAGAAACATTCTCTTTTTCCAGCAATCTCTTAAGTTTCTTTCTCCTATTCCCCATACTTTTCCCATTACACTTAATGCCTTCTTTTTCAGATTTTTAATGTGCTTGTCTACTCCATTATTCCTCTGTAATATGAAGCCTAAGTAATTAAATTCTGTAACCTCTTCGATTGTTTTTCCGTTCCATTGGAATTCGACTTTTTTCTTTCTTCCTCCTGCCTTCTTCCCTCTTAAAATTTTTGATTTGTCTGTATTTAATTCCAACCCTCTTTCCTTTATGTATTTGTTGAATTTTGTTAACATTTCCCTCATTCCTCTTTCATTATTCGCTAATAAAACTATGTCATCTGCATATGACACTGACCAAATTTTTTTTCTACCGATTACTATACCTCCTTCTTGCGCTGTGCTCATTTTCTTCTCTAAGTTTGCAAATGTTGCATTAAAAAGTACTGTGCTCAGTGGACACCCCTGTCTTATGCCTTCTCTCATTGATATAATCTTTGATTTTTCCCCATTAACTTCTATCTTAAAGTAAGTTTCCTCATAAATTTCTCTTATCCTCTCTTTTAATTTGTTTTCTATATTTAGCTCTTCTAAGGTCTTCCATATCGTATCTCTTTTAAGCTTATCGAAAGCTCCTTTCATGTCTGCAAAGAAGAGGAAAATTTCACCTTTTTCTTTCTTTATTTCTTCTTCGATGGCCGTTTTAACTATGTATATTGCGTCAATAGTTCCTTTATTTTTCCTATATCCCATCTGCGTCTCTCCTAATGCTTTTTTGTCTTCCAATTCCTTTTCTAATCTTTTCCTAAGTATTTCCGCGTAAATTTTATATCCTGTGTTCATAAGAGTTATTCCTCTGTAGTTTTCCGGTTTATGTCTATCTCCTTTCTTGAAAATTGGTTTTATTATTCCCATTTTCCATTCCTCAGGCAGATCTTCATCTCCATTCCATATTTTATTTAGTATTCCTTGCAAGTTCTCTTGTAATTCCTTTCCACCATATATCCAGGCTTCATTTGTGATTTTATCTTCTCCAGCCGCCTTTTTCTTTTTCAGCTTCTTTATTACTTGTTCTACTTCCTCTTGCGTTATTTCTTGATCTTCATTTTTTTCTATTTTCTCTTCTTTACCCAGCTGTCTTGTTTCTTCTACTACTTTTCCTCCCATTTGTTTAGCAAAGTGCTCAGTCCATTCAACCATATGTATTTTTTTACTTATCTCTTCTTTTTTTGTTCTTTGTTTGTTTATTAACTCCCAGAACTTCTTTCCCGTTTTGTCCTTTCTTGCTTCTGACCAGTCTTTCTCCAATGTCAGTCGTTTCTTATCCTCAATTATTTTTTTGTATTTCTTTTTACATTCACAGTAATCTGTTTTCAGTTCACCTGTTTCTATATATTTTTTCCTTGTCTTCTTTAACTCTAGTTTTGCTGCGTGACATTCTTGATCCCACCATTTCTTTTTCTGGATACTTGTATTAATCCTTATTTCCTTTATACATACCGCTGCTTTTAGCTTTTCTCTGAGTCCGTTCCAATTTTCTGGTCTTCCTAATTCTTTTAACTTATTGTTGTAATTTAAAATATCCTCCTCCGACCATCCTTCGTAGATTATTGTTTTGTATTTAGATCCTTTTTCATGTACCTTTTTCGTTAAAATATTTAATTGCAAGTCTAATCTTTGATGGTCTGACTCATTGTTATCCACTACCTGCATTCTCTCTATCAGATCTTCTTCAGTTTTCCTATTAGTAATTACGTAATCTATTACTGACCTTCCTTTAGTTCCTATGTAGGTTAATTCCCCTTGTTCATCGCCTCTTACGTTTCCATTTAGGATGTACATTCCATTATCTGAAACCCAATTCAGTAGTACCTCTCCTTCTTTATTTACAACCTTATCTTTCGATAGCCTATATTCTTCTGTCATCATTTCACTCTCTCTTCCTCTTTTATTTGCTACTCTTGCGTTAAAATCTCCTCCCATTATTATGTATCCTTCCTTGATATCTTCTAGTATTTTTCCTACTTTTTCATAGTTTTCACTCCTTCTATCTCTCATGTATACGCTTAAGATCATAAGTTTTCCTTTGTTTGTATTTAAATCTAGTTTGATTAGTTCCTCATTTAACTTTTCTATTATTGTAGACTTTACATTTAGGGATTTGCTAAATGCCGTGATCATTCCTTCTTTTAACCTTCCCCTTTTCCCTTCCCTTCTTGCTTCAACCAGTAAAATATTGTAATTTATCAATTTATTTTCTATTAATCCTCTGTCTTTCTCGTTCGCCCAAGTCTCTGTTAAATTTATTACGTCATACTCCAGTAGTTTTTCCCATTCTTCCTCTAAATTCCTAATACCCGCAACATTCCAAAAGTTTATTTTTAAACATTTTCCTTTGTTATTTTCCTTGTATATTTTTTTGTTCCTAATAATCCCCTATTATCTAAGTTGAGCGCGTTTTTGTTGGTAATCTGATACTTATTGTCTATTTTATGTTTTAGTTTTTTGGCATAAGTTTTCCTTCCATTTCGTTCCATACCATCCATCTTTCATCTACTCTTAGTTTCTTGTAACCTATTTTAACAACTTTTCCTTTCTGTCTCTCCTCGGACGCTATCTGCATTATGCTTTGTTGTATATTTTTTTCATTTTCCGTTAGTTCACTGTCTATATATATATTTGTTCCTTTTAGTTTACTTTTTGCATGTGAAATTTGTTTTTTGTTTTCCCAGTCTTGTAGTTTAATGAAAATAATCTGACTGTTGTGTTTTTCTAATTTATTTGTAGTTATTATCTTTGGTTCTATTTGTAATTTGGTATAAATGATCTGCCCAACCTCCTCTTTTATTTTCTCTGCAGTATTTCCTTTTATTTTGTAACCCTTTACTACTATATTATTCCTTTTTTCATTTTTTTCTATCTTTTCTAGTTTTTCTACTCTGCTTTTCAAAAAGGTTTCTTCAGTTTCCCATCTTTCATTTTCCTCTTTGTATTCATTTTTTATTATTTGTAATTCATCTTTTAATTCATGATTTTCTTTCCTTAATTCTTTTAGATCAGTTCTTATTTCCCTTATCAGCTTGCATAACTCATCGTATTGTGCCATTTCCGTTTCAGACCCTTTTTGTTGCTCACACTGTATGGTAACTTGCGTTTCTGAATTAAATGTCGTTGCAGGTTTCTTGCTGGTTTGGCAGATTTCTACTTTTGTTGTGTCTTCTCTTTTTCTTTTATAAAAGTCTGTTATACAGCCTACACTTTTTACTCTTGGTCGGAAGGTGTCTCTAATAGTTCCGTATTGATTTTTATTATCGATTTCCTTTGACATAACCTTTTGCTTGATTTAGAAAATGCAATTTCTCTCCTACCTTATCTTCAACTTCTCTGGGATGTTCTCACTTTAGGGTATTCTTTGCTGTATGCCTCTTTATTTGCTGCACTCTTATTGCAAAAATTCTACTGTATTCTTATTAAAACTTTGTTTTTCACCTCAGCACCTTTAACACGTCAATACTCCATACT